AACACATTTTTCATCTGATCAATATTAGATACATGTTGCGATCTCGTGAGTTATAATTTTGTTTACGTGTCATGCTGATATAAAAATAAATTGCGGCAAATAAGTTAACGCCTATAATTTGACAAATGTAATTAGATTCTAAATTATGTCTCACACAAATATTTAATATTTACTTTAATATTGTATTTTATTTTATTTTATTAAAATTTATTATATTTATCTTATATTAAAATTATCTCATACACATTTTAAATTTGTAATATAAAAATTTAAAAATATTACCTATTTTAGTAGAACGGTTTTTTTCCTTTTTTCTTAATTATTCTATAATTTTTTTTAGACTATATTTCCTTATTTTCTTTTTAGATTTGTTAATATTGGAAATATTACATATTTTAGTAGAACAGTTACATATTTAAGTAAAACAGTTTTTTATACTTTTTCTTAATTAGTCTATTCTCCTTTATAATAGATTCTTTATTTCCTTTGTATTTTTTTTTGTTAATATTGATAAATGTCACAATCTTAATTAACAATTACACATGTTATTATCTCGTGAATAAGAATTTTGCTTACGTGTCGCGTTCTCTTCGTGCATATTTTTTATTATATAATAAGATATCTTCGATTTTTAGAGTTTCAAATTAGTAAATCTTGTTTGTCTTGTATATACAAGAAGAAATTGAAAATCCATTGTTCCATGATCTTACCTGTGGTCCAAAACGGTTTCTACTTGAGGTCTAACAACATTGGGTCCAAGACAATATTGACTGTCACATATATTTTGTTTATGGGCATGTTCGTTTAACAGCCGCGGCGGTAACGTCTAAAAACCTGCGACCAGCGTTTGGTTTGTTACACAACCGTTGCGGTCAATCGCAGCGTCTAGTTGCAAGATATGTTTATTACACAACCGTTGCGATCATTTTTAATTTAATTCAAATTTTAATTTTTGTAAATTTTTGTAAATTAGTTTAAAATGAAAATAATAAACGAAATCATTTAATTTCAATTTTTGTAAATTTTTGTAAATCAGTTTAAAATGAAAATAATAAACGAAATCATTTAATTTCAATTTTTGTAAATTCTGTAAACTATAAAGTAATTTAAAGTAAAAATTATAAACGAAATCATTTAATTTCAAAAGAAAATAATAACG